CTTCTCGCGCGGCTGAAACGCGTTTACGGGCCTGTGTCTCTACAAGGGTCGGTCAGACAGCTCACAGCGTCGACAGTACTAACGACTATATATTTTCTCATAATAAGACCGGATTTGCGACAACGAACGACTATATACTCTCGTGAAAACTTTTTTGGCGCCCGTTGCAACGTTCATGTTAATGTGTATGCCTTTGTTCATGGGTTGCCTTTCGCTGGTACTTAAACACTACTGGTAGCCATAACTGTGGAAACAAAGCATACAAGCGAGATTACTCTCTTCACGTCTGCAGGAGCCGGTGGATATATTGATTTGGGAGGAGATCCGGTATTCTGTGCAGGGGTAGTTTATTTCTCTCGAGGTTCCTTCAGTATGAAATTCTGAATCATCTCGTTCAGAACTTGGATCAGATCCAATATGAACATGGAGGACAGGTGCGTGTTGGATATAATATGGGCTTGGCCCATATAATATTCAATAAATCAAATAAAACTATATGTTGTGTAACATTAAGTGTTGTATGGTTTAATACCATACGGGATTTTAATTGAACGCTGACTCAGCTTATATAGTTGGAAATTATTCATCTAAATTGAGAAGCTCAGAAAAGGACAAAGGCGTGCCACACGCGCGCGTGCCGCCGCCGGCCGGGCCGTGGGCCGTGGCGAGGAGGGCGTGGCCGGTCTTTTGCCACTTAATCCATATAATCACGGGAGTTACTCCCTTTGATGGTGGAGGCGAACTGATTGCGTCAGTTACCGTCCTTTTCGTCTCCTGAAATTCTCCGCTGCCTCTCTCCTTTCCCCGCAGCAGCCATATATTTCCTGTCCTGCGTCAGTCCGAAGTCTGTCTCCCTGCAACAGTTCCCGAGAAATTCCACATCTCCACAGCCTTCTGTCTTCCCCGTCTCATTCCTCTATGCGCACGGAGGAGCGGTAGAGCAGGTGCCTCCGGAGCCTGACTACTCGTCAATCTTCTTCCTGCTGGAGATCGCTCTTAGATCCGTCTTCTCCCTGGAATGTCAAGCATCTTCTTTCTGGGGATCCGTTCGAGTTTTGCTTTCCCTGGCAGCCTCTTATGGTCTTATCGTTCATCAAATAGACTTTAAGACAGCTTTCCTAAATGGAGAGTTGGAGGAGGAGATCTATATGGATCAGCCTGATGGGTTTGTAGTAAATTGTCAAGAAGGCAAGGTGTGTAAATTATTAAAGTCATTATACGGCCTAAAACAAGCTCCTAAGCAGTGGCATGAGAAGTTCGACAGAACTTTAACATCTGTTGGCTTTGTTGTGAATAAAGCTGATAAATGTGTGTACTATCGGTATGGTGGGGGTCAAGGAGTCATTTTGTGCTTATATGTTGATGACATACTGATCTTTGGATCCAGCCTCAAAGTGATCGAAGAGGTGAAGGGATTTTTAACTAATAACTTTGAGATGAAAGATTTGAGAGAGGCTGATGTTATTCTTAATATCAAGCTTCTGAGAGAAGATGATGGTGGGGTAACTCTGTTACAATCCCACTATGTGGAAAAGGTGCTGGGTCGCTTTGGGTTTAGTGATTGTACACCTGCTTCTACACCTTATGACCCTAGCGTGCTATTGAGGAAAAATCAGAGAATAGCAAGGGATCAGTTGAGATATTCCCAGATCATTGGTTCGCTCATGTATCTTACTAGTGCAACAAGGCCTGACATCTCATTTGCTGTGTGCAAGCTGAGCCGGTTTGTGTCAAACCCGGGAGATGATCACTGGTGTGCTCTTGAGAGAATAATGCGCTACCTAAAAGGGACCATGAGCTATGGTATTTATTATACCGGACATCCAAAAGTGCTGGAAGGCTACTGTGATGCCAACTGAATTTCTGATGCTGATGAACTTTATGCCACAAGTGGATATGTGTTTTTGCTTGGAGGTGGCGCTGTTTCCTGAAAGTCTTGCAAGCAGACTATCTTAACGAAGTCTACAATGAAAGCAGAACTCACAGCATTAGACACTACTGGATCTAAGGCTGAGTGGCTTCGTGATCTCCTTATGGATTTACCGGTTGTTGAAAAACCTATACCGGCTATTTCTATGAACTGCGATAACCAGACTGTGATTACAAAGGTTAACAGTTCTAAGGATAACATGAAGTCCACAAGACATGTTAAGAGACGACTAAAATCTGTCAAAAAATTGAGAAACTCCGGAGTAATAGCGTTGGACTATGTTCACACGTCTAACAATCTGGCAGATCAGTTCACTAAGGGTCTGTCACGCAATGTGATAGAAAGTGCATCGAGAGAGATGGGTTTGAGACCCACTTAAAATTTACTATAGTGGTAACATGTTCTATGTGATCGGAGGTCCCGTGAAGTAGAATGGTGAAATAAGCTAGTGGTAAATTGTGAGGAAAGATCATTAGTAAGACTCATCTCTGATGCACATCTTTCCTATCTGTAAGGCAGGTTTGTTTTTACCTTAATGTGTTCCAAGCGACTTGCTAAAGCAAAGATGTTGTCCTACAGAACATCTTTTGAGGAGCACACCTATATGAGTCAGGCTGCTGGTCACAGTCTATGAGATTTGGGTGATATCTAAATACTCATGAAAGGCACTAAAGTATGATTTATATGCTTCAAATAGAGGGGATGTCTTTTACTGTCCAGTATCAGCTAAGGACTTTAGTGACATTCACCTCACATAAAACTGTTAATTCAAGGCTTAGTCCATTGTTCAGTTGTGACTGAGTGAAACTATTGTTCTAGATGGATGTTCAACTTAACAGTCTCCATCGAAACACTGGTATATAAAAGAAATGTGGTTCTAAGACTACTTTGTTACAAACCCTAGAGTTTGGTGGAGATTGTTGGATATAATATGGGCTTGGCCCATATAATATTGAATAAATCAAATAAAACTCTATGGTGCGTAACATTAAGTGTTGTATGGTTTAATACCATATGGGATTTTGACTGAACGCTAACTCAGCTTATATGGTTGGAAATTATTCATCTAAATTGAGAAACTGAGAAAAGGACAAAGGCGTGCCACACGCGCGCGCGTCGCCGCCGACCGGGCCAGGCTGTGGCCGTGGCGTGGCGAGGCGAGGCAGGCGGGCGTGGCCAGTCTTTTGCCACTTAATCCATATAATCACGGGAGTTACTCCCTTTGATGGTGGAGGCGAACTGATTGCGTTAGTTACCGTCCTTTCTGTCTCCTAGAATTCTCCGTTGCCTCTCTCCCGTCCCCGCAGCGGCCATATATTTCCAGTCCTTCGTCAGTCCATAAGTCTGTCTCCCTGCAACAGTTTCCGAGAGAATCCACATCTCCGCAGTCTTCTGTCTTTCCCGTCCCATTCCTTTGCGCGCACGGAGGAGCGGGAGAGCAGGTGCCTCCGGAGCCCTCGGCCGCCTGAGAATCCTGCACAGGGTAAGCGGCGATTAGGTTTTTGGAGAGCGATCTGCGACTGCTCGTGAATCTTCTTCCTGCTGGAGATCGCTCTTGGATCCGTCTTCTTCCTGGAACGTCAAGGCATCTTCTTCCTGGTGATCCGTTCGTGGGACTGCACTGCGAACATCTTCCTGCATCGACCGTGGTCCGCGACTTCGAGCAACGCACTATTAGTGCGAATGGAGCCTCCGATGCCCTCAGCATGGGACCCTCCGCTGGGTACAGTCTAAACTCTGTGATTACTGTACTTTGTATTCTTACTGTATCAATCACTATGTCATCTATGCATGCTGTAGCGTTCATAAGAAATATACGCATGCACATATATGCTATCACAAACCTGCTGATGTTATATTTCTGGATTAAACTGATAATGAAAATGTCTAAATATCTAAAAGTGCGGTGGCTTGGGGTGCATGGTGATGACGGCCGTACTCTTGATGATCCTGGTTGCATCGCCCGTCCAGTGTAAGTTACATCTCACCATCTTTGTTTCTTTTTTCTCATTATTTTTTTATCACTGATTGAATCTAGATGTATACATACATATTCTGCGCGCTGTTGAACACATACGTCTTATTGAAGCGGGTCGTCCTCACCTTCTCGAGGTTGGAACTGCAAGGAGCCATGCGTAAGATGAGCAATAATGCTACAGCGACATTCGATGAGAGCAAGGTGAAGCTGGTATTTTGTGCCAAGATGGAGTGTGATACGAAGCCGTATGACTGCTACTGCTGCTGGAACGAGAGGCCAGAATCCCTGTGTTACGACACGATGCGTGAGTGTAGGGCCAAGTGCCCTCATTGCGATCCCGTACGCCCATCCGATCCACATGTAACAACAGTATAAGATGGTTGCAGTAATAATCCAGCTAGCTCTCTAGATGCGCCTCTTCCCTTTTTGGTCTCGTTCGGCTGGCATAGATGAAGTACGGTTTATGGATGAATTTTATTGTTTATAGATGGTTTCTCTCACAAATTCCTCCATATTTATCCAGATTCCTTCGTTTTCGAATCTCTCAAATGTAACGTCTCCTCTTTAGTTTCTTTATATTTTTTCTGGTGATCTGATACACGTCAATCCGATTGTTTGATCAGAACGCACGATAACATTGAACAGCAATAATCGTTTCATTCTTTCTTCCATTGACTTTTGATCTGCTGCACTCCATGCCGGCTACTGCTAGCGGTACAGTGGAATGATAAACTTGGCATAGTTTTAGAATAGTTTGAGTTAAGAACCAAAGTCAGGGTCACTTATATTTTGGGACGGACGGACGGAGTAGTTAATTGAATATGCCAAATAAAGACATTGCTTCATGAAAAATGTTATGCGCCACAAGCCATGATGCTGTCTGGGTCTATTATTATTCAGAAGTTGCCTCTTCCTCTGCTTCAAAAAAGAGAAGGAAGTCGTCTTTCCTGGCACCCAGGCCAAAGGTCAACCAGCAGTACCATCCGCTCACTACTGACATCTTTCTTCGATTCGTACTGAAGAAGAAGGCACTCCTAACTTGTAAAATGGAAGAAGGCAACAGAATTTATACAGCGTTTTAACATATGTTTATCATCGTGCGTCGGTTTGCAGTCTCATGAGCCGATTTGCTCCTTGCAACTTAGGCGCCGCAGCAGCGTGCCGCCGGTGGAACGCGTCGCGGCGCTTCCTGATGAGCATTTCGATCTCTCGCCGCTCCTCTTTCGCTATGTGCTGGCACCGGCACTCGGCGCTACAAAACGCTTGCTCTCCTCTGCAAAATTAAGTCACCCGAAACCCACATGAGTCACCAACTCACACGGTCGAGCTAGGCTCGAGAGTGAACGAGCGCCTGAGAGATCGAGGAAGGTTATTAGATAGTGGCAGGGATTCTTACTTGTACACGAAGACGTCCATGGTGGCGTCGAGGTTCTTGTGGCAGCAGAAGCAGCGTTTCAAGAACTCGAGCCCGACAAACACCCTGCCGTTCTCGTGGCACTTGCTGGACGCGCCCGTCGCCGCCGCTGGGACCCTCACCGCGGACCTCCTCAGGACCGTCGGCAGCTGTTGTTTCCTCGGCGACGGCTGTATGATGAGGCGGAGCCCGACGAGCTCGCCGGCGGATGAGGCCGCCATTGGCGTCGAGGTCGAGGCGCCCATCCCCTCCTCGAGGTGGAAGAGGCTTGGCGCTCTAGGGATCATGCTAGCTCTGTTCTTTAGTTTGCAAGTATCTGCCTCTCTCGGAGCGTGTATGTCTCTGTATGTACTACTCGGAGAGACTGAGATAGAGAAGATATTGCAAGAGAGCTAGGAATTGATGTCGTGAGGTGTTTGAGCTGCCAGCTGCGCGAATATATATATATATAGCAGCCCCATAGCAGCTTGCGCTGTGGACGCACGCTTTTATTTGTAGATGTCCATACAGCCCGCGGCACGACAGTCCGACACGAAGCTCGCATTTTTGGCCGGCCCCAAGCACGGCCTAGCCCGGTGACGAGTGGGCCCGAGCTGGTCCAGCCCGAAGGAACAGGCCGTGCCTGGGCCTTATCCTAGGCACGACATGCCAGCACAGCACGGCCCAGTCAACGGACGCTCCCGACTCTCTCCCCACGCCCCCTCTGCGCCGCGGACGCTCTCGGCTCCCTCCCCTTCCCTCGAAAAAGGCCATGCCGACCACCTCCACCTCCACTTCACTCCGCCTCCATAATCCCTCCATCCGGCCTCCCCCATCCCCGGCCACACCGCCGCCTCCACCTCCACTCCACTCCGGCTCCCCCATCCCCATGCCGCCGCCTCCAGAGCTCCACCTCCACCACGCGACGGCGTTGAGTGCGGCGACGGCCGCCACCTCCATGGCCCCCTGCGCGTCTGGCTGTGGCCGCCTCCTCTGCGCCCCCTACACGGCTTCGAGCGGAGCGGCCTCCATCCCCTCCGCAGCGACGACCCCGCTCCTCCTCGGCTCCTCCCCGTCCCTCGACCACGCTGAAGTCCAGCGCAACAACAGCGCCGGCGTCGAGCACGGCAACGGCCGCCTCCTCCACAACCCCCACAGCGTGTCCGCCACCTCCTCCGCCCTCCCAGCGGCGGCTGAGCGGAGCGGCCTCGATCTGGCCTTCTACGCCGTCGATCCGGCCGGACCGCCATGGATCCGCCAGCTACTTCGCCGGATCCGGCATCAAGCGACCCGGGGGGAGCTCACTGGCGGCCGCCACCACCTTGAAAGGTCCTAATGGCTAGAGGGAGGGTGAATAGCCTAATAAAATTCTACAACAACACTTAACAAAATGTGTTAGACAATTTTGCGGCGAAGCGAGTGTTGCGCTAGCCTACTAAAATGCAAGCCACCTACCACAATTCTATTTCTAATAGTGTATGTCCACACAATAGCTATGACACTTAGCTAAATTAGTGTGCTCTCAAAGACTAACTAAAGAGCAACACTAATCAAACAAACAAGCTCTCACAACTAGCTACACTAAAGAGCTTGATAACTAGTTTGCGGTAATGTAAGAGTGAGCAAGAGAGTTATACCGCCGTGTAGTGGTAGGAACCAATCAATCACAATAATGAATACCAATATATACCAATCACCTCGGAATCAAATGATGAACACAATGATTTTTACCGAGGTTCACTTGCTTGCCGACAAGCTAGTCCTCGTTGTGGCGATTCACTCACTTGGAGGTTCACGCGCTGATTGGCATCACTCGCCAAACCCTCAATAGGGTGCCGCACAACCAACACAAGATGAGGATCACACAAGCCACAAGCAATTTACTAGAGTACCTTTTGGCGCTCCGCCGGGGAAAGGTCAAGAACCCATCACAATCACCACGATCGGAGTCGGAGACAATCACCTCCTCCACTCAACGATCCTTGCTGCTCCAAGCCGTCTAGGTGGCGGCAACCACCAAGAGTAACAAGCGAAATCCATGGTGAAACACAATCACCAAGTGCCTCTAGATGCAATCACTCAAGCAATGCACTTGGATTCACTCCCAATCTCACTACGATGATGAATCAATGATGTAGATGAGTGGGAGGGCTTTGGCTAAGCTCATAAGTATGCTATGTCAATGAAAATGTGCAAGAGTGAGAGCCACAGCCGGCCATGGGGCTATAAATAGAGCCCCAGTGAAATAGAGCCGTTGTACCCCTTCACTTTGGGCATTAATGCGGGTGACCGGACGCCTGGTCCGATCGACCGGACGCCGGCCCTCGGCGTCCGTCCACGTGGATTCACGCCACGTGTCCCCGCTTCAAATGTTGTTCGTCGATTTCAACGGCTTACGGTTGACCGGACGCCCGGTAAAACTGACCGGACGCTCGTAAATCGACAGACGCTGAAGCCCCAGCGTCCGTCGCTTCAATAAGCTCCCGAGGCATGTTTTTTTTCGACCGGACGCGTCCGGTCCACCTCTGACCGGACGCAGCCAAACGTCGGTGCTCATCCCAGCCATCAGATCGACAATCAACCGCGACCGGACGCAGGCAGTCAGCGTCCGGTGCTTTTGGATCCAGCGTCCGGTCACTGGACCGACGCCAGCATCAATTCGATCAACTCCATTTCAACTCTTACTTCTTCACCCTTGCTTAAGTGTGCCAACCACCAAGAATTTTGCATCCGGCGCAATAGAAAATAGACATTTCATTTTCCCGAAAGCGCCTTGTGCACATGTGTTAGCATATTTTCATAAATATTTTCAAGGGTGTTAGCACTCCACTAGATCCTAAATGCATATGCAATGAGTTAGAGCATCTAGTGGCACTTTGATAACCGCATTCCGATACGAGTTTCACCCCTCTTAATAGTACGGCTATCAAACTAAATGTGATCACACTCTCTAAGTGTCTTGATCACCAAAATAAAATAGCTCCTACAAGTTATACCTTTGCCTTGAGCTTTTTGTTTTTCTCTTTCTTCTTTCCAAGTTTAAGCCCTTGATCATCTCCATGCTATCACCATTGTCATGTTATGATCTTCATTTGCTTCTCTACTTGAAGTGTGCTACCTATCTCATGATCACTTGATGAACTAGGTTAGCACTTAGGGTTTCATCAATTTACCAAAACCAAACTAGAACTTTCACACCTCCACTCCTCGCCTACCCCTCCTCTCTGTCCCATTTGGTGGGCCTCAGGGCGGCCCGACCTGCTAAAAAGGCCGGGCTCATCGGGCCGGCCCGGCACGGAAATTGGCCCGACAGGTCGTGCCTGGGCTGTCGACCAGGCACGATGGACTGGTGCGGCACGGCCTCCATCCCTTCCGTGCAGTGCCCTATCGGGCCGTGTCTAGCACGGGTCCGTGCCATGCCGGACCAGGCCCGTCCCGTTGGCCATCTACAGTATTAGTTCTTGTGGCTATACAGTTGAGTTGGTTGAGGCCAAGAAAAAGCTGGGAGAGAGAGAAATGTTTGTTTTGTAGCGAGAATACGCGCACATGCTACACATGAGGCAAAAGCTGGGCCAGCTTTCGCTTTCACTTTCACAGCGTGCGTGCGATCACGCGATTGGGTAGGCGTGGCCTGCAGCTGCAGTGTCGCCCTGTTTGCCACGTAGTATACCCGGATAACACATCGTAGTCGTCAGACGTGACAACTGACATGTGGGTTGGTGTTATCTCTACCGTTCCACAAGACAACAAGGTGTCCTTTCGATTGCAGTATCTTGTGTTAACGTCACTGTCCGGCTGTCCTGCAAGCAATGGCCAATCGCGGTAACAACTGGAACCACACCCACACCCACACCCACTGCGAATTTGAATAATGGAGCTGTGGCCATGCATTGATCACAGCTAATAACCGCCCAGCTAAACTATGAAAATGTGGGCGACAAGTAACACCGGCATTCAGCATGTTCGGGAGGCCATATCGTATCATGAATTATTTACTGCTGGCTGGTTTAGTGTGAGAGAAAAATATAGTTCTCGACTAAAAGTTTACGATCGTTTACGAGAAAGCGAACAGACAGATTGCCGTAAGAAAGGTTTATAGAAAAAAGGCGGCGCGTGCGTGTGGACGTACGCTAGAAAGCGGCGATGGGGACACCGGTGGCATCCGATTCTTGTTCTCCCCCGGGCACTCTCCCGTGTCCCTCATCGTGCACGACAGCATCCTCCGACTCCGATGCGATGCGATGCTCATCGATCGCTCGGCTCCACAAACGGCTGCACGCATGACACACGGCCTGCGAGTCTGTGCGATCGAGCGGCAGAAGCTAGGCCTGTTTAGTTCACCAAAAATCCAAACTTTCACACTATGCAAAAGAAGATTTCCCGTCACATCAAATTTGCGGTATATGCATGGAGTACTAAATATTGACGAAATCAAAAACTAATTGCACAGTTTGGTTGTACTTTACGAGACGAACGTTTTGAGTCTAATTAGTCAATGTTTGGACAATTATTACCAAATAAAAACGAAAAGATACTATAGCTACAGTACCTCCATGAAATTGGGCGGCGCCAAATTGGGGACCAACTAAACGTGGCCCTAGTGTTGTGTTCGTGTCGCACGTGCTTCCCGGTTCCTTTTCGGATACACATCGTAGTCGTAGGCTCGTAGCGAGGCGTGTGGGTGTTATCATATCTTCACCGCTCCAGATGAGAACAAAAAACGTCGTGTCGACGACTATACAATAGATGAATAAAATGATAACAACAACAATGTCGCTGTTAGCTAGTGGTGCGTGAGCTAAGGTGAGAACTACGCTGTGCTTAGTTTATGGTGGTTTCGCCAGCAAATTGTAGACGACAAGCAACACCAGATTATATATAGCAGTTAAAAATCCCAAAGCTGACGGCCTAGAGGAGGCCCGGTTAGCTGAATTAGGCCATGTGAGACGGCCTAGTAGATCGTACTAAATCTACAAACTAGTAGGACTGTCGCCACGCCGAGCAAGAAAAAGGCAGTGCGTGCGTACGCCTAGAAAGGCAGCGATGGACGCGCGCGCAGCACATGGCCGATCGCGTCGCCGTCGCCGGACAAGATTTCCCCTGTAGCGGTGGTTATGTACGTGCGTTCGTGCAGCACGTGTCTGGCAGAGACGATGCCTTCCCTTCCCTTTTCTTTTCCGAGACACGTCGGCCGGGAGCGGGTCTGTGCCGTGCCTGTGGTCCACAACAACTAGCAGTAGCA